ATATAGCAAAAACAGTACTGAAAGGAAAGTTGATTGTAGTAAATGCTTACATCAAAAGGACAGAAAGATTTAAAATAAACAAACCAACACTACACTTCAAAGAACTAGAAAAACAATAACAATCCAGTCCCAAAATGAGTAGATAAAAAGAAATAAGATCAGAGCAGAAGTAAATAAAATAGAGATTATGCCTCCAAGAAGAAATTAAACAGGAAATCAAAAAATTTATTGAAACTAATGAAAATAAAGACACGACATACCAAAACCTGTGGGATATAGCAAAAGAAGTACTGAAAGGAAAGTTGATTGTAGTAAATGCTTACATCAAAAGAACAGAAAGATTAAAATAAACAAACTAACACTACACTTCAATGAACTAGAAAAACAATAACAATCCAGTCCCAAAATGAGTAGACAAAAAGAAATAAGATCAGAGCAGAAGTAAATAAAATAGAGACACAAAAAGCAATACAAAAGATAAATAAGCAAAACGTTTTTTTGTTTTTTTGTTTTTTTGGGTTTTTTTTGAGAAGACAAAATAAACAAATCATTAGCTAGGTTAACCAAAAAAAAGAAAAAGTGACCAAAATAACAAAAACAGAAATGAGAGAGAATACATTACAATTGATACCACAGAAATACAAAGAATTGTTGGAGACTATTATAAACAACTACACACCAACAAATTTGAAAACCTAGATGAAATAGATAAATTGCTGGACACATGCAAATTACCAAGACTGAATGAAGAAGGTGTAGAAAACCTGAACAGAATAATAACAAGCAATGAGATTGAAGTAGTAATCAGCAGTCACCCAACAAAGAAAAGCCCAAAACAAGATAGCTCTACAGCTGAATTCCACCGAACTTTTAAAGAGGAATTAATGCCAATTCTCTTCAAACTATTCCAAAGAATTGAAGCAGAGGCCATTTTCCCAAATTCATTCAATGAGGCCAGTATCACTCTGATACCAAAACTATACTAGTACATAACATAGAAATAAAACTACAGGCCAATATCTTTGATGACCATAGACACAAAACCACTCAACAAAACATTAGCAATCAGAATACAGCAACACATCAAAAACATTATACACCATGATCAAGTGGGGTTCATCCCAGATATATAAAAATGGCTGAACACATGCAAGTCAATAAATGTGATACGCCACATTGACAAAATCGAAGACAAAAACCATGATTATCTCAATATACACTGAAAACGTATTTGACAAAATTCAACATCACTTCATGCTGAAGATTCTTAGCAAACTATGTATACAAGGAAAGTACCTCAACACATTAAAAACCATATATAACAATCCCACTGCCAATATCATCCTGAATGGGATATGCTGAAAGCTTTTCCCTTAAGAACAGGAACAAGACAAGGATGCCCACTGTCACCACTCCTATTTAACATAATATTGGAAGTACTAACCAGAGCAGTCAGGCAAGGGAAAGAGATAAAGGGCATCCAGATTGGAAGAGATGAAGTTAAACTGTCCCTCTTTGTAGATAACATGATCCTATGCATAGAAAAAAACACAAATTCTACAAAAATATTCTTACAGTTGGTAAAGGATTTCAGTAAAGTTGGAGGATGCAAAATCAACATGCAAAAGGCAGTAGCTTTTCTACACTCCCATATCAAACTAGAAGGAAAAGAAGTCAAGAAAGCAAGTCCATTTGCAATAGTCACCAAACAATGAATTACCTAGGAATTAATTTAACCAAGGAGATGAAAGATCTCTAGAATGAGCACTACAATTCACATATGAAAGAAATTAAAGAGGACACAAAAAGATGGAAAGACATTACATGCTTTTGGAATGAGAGAATTAACATTGCGAAGATTTCCATACTATCCAAAGAAATCTAAAAATTAAATAAAATCTCCATCAAAACACCAGTAACAGTCTTCACAGAAATGGAAAAAACAGCCTTAACATTCATGTGGAACAACAAAGACCACGAATAGCCAAAACATCTTGAGCAAAAATAAAAATGAAAATAATGTCAGAGGCATAACACTACCTCACTTCAAATTATACTACAAAGCTAGAGTAAACAAAACAGCATAGTACTGGCATAAAAACAGACACATGGACCAATGGAACATAATAAAGAACACAGAAATCAACCTGCATACTTAGAGCCAACTAATCTTTGACAAAGGCACCAAGAATATACATTGAGATAAAGACTGCCTCTGCAATAAATGGTGCTGGGAAAACTGTACATTCATATATAAAAGAATGAAACTAGATCCATACCTCTCTCCAAACAACAAAATAAACTCGAAATGGATTTAAGTCTTAAATATAAGACCTGAAGCTATAAAATTACAAAAAAATGAACACAAAAGGGAAACACTTCAGGATATAGGAGTGGGCAAAAACTTTATGAATAAGACCCCAAAAGCACAGGCAACAAAAGAAACAATAAACAAGTGGGACTATTTCAAACCAAAAAGCTTCTGCACAGCAAAAGAAACAATTAGCAGAGCAATTATGCAACCTACAGAATGGCAGAAAATATTTGCAAACTATACATCTGTCAAGGGATTAACATGCAGAGTATACAAGGAACTCAACAGTGAGAAAACAAGGAACCCAATCTTAAAAATGAGCAAAGGAACTGATTTGGCATTTCTCAGAGGAAGGTATAAAAATGGCTAACAGATCCATGAAAAAATGCTCAACATCACTAAGCATCAGGGAAATGCAAATCAAAACCACAGTAAGATATCACATCTCATCCCAGTTAGACTGGCTGTTATCAGAAAGACAAGGAATAACAAATGCTGGTGAGGATGCAAAGAAAGGGTAATCCTCCCACACTCCTGTTGCACTGTAAAGTAGTGCAGCCTTTATGAAAAACAGAATGATGTTTCTGTAAATACATACAGATAGAAGGACCATAAGATCCAGCAATCCCAGTGCTGGGTATATACACAAAGGAATGGGAATCATCATGTTGAAGGGACACCTGCACTCACATGTTCATCACGGCGCTATTCACAGTAGCCAAGAGTTGGAACCAACCTGAATGTCCATCAACAGGTGACTGGATAAGGACAATGTGGTTTATATACTCAATGGAATACTACTTGGCCATAAAAAAGAATAAAATTCTCTCATTTACAGCAACATGGATGAATGTAGAGAAAATTATGTTAAGTTAATTAAGCCAGATGCAAAAAGAGAAATACCACATATCGTCACTTATAAGTAGGAGCTAAAAAATAAATAAAATTGAAAGAAAGAAAGAGAAGGAAGGAAGGAAGGAGGAGGGAAGGAAGGAAGGAAAGAAGGAACAACAATGACAATAATACACTGAACTTTCAAAATAATGAGAACTGTGGTTATTAGAGGTGTGAAGGGGGGAGGGTAGGAGAAAACTTGGTCAAGGATCACAAAGATTGATCACAGTTTGTAAACACGAGTAGACTAATTATCCTGATTTGATCACTACATACTGTACACAGGTATTGATATTCAAAACCCACAAATATGTATAAATATGTTTCAATAAAAAAACTGTCAAAAAATGTTACTATCTGGAAATGTTTTCTTAGCCTAATATGGCTTTGTTCCCACCCACGTCCTCTGTGCTGTTATTGGCAAACTCATTCAACTTTTATATGTTAGAGCCCCAAGAATACAATTACAAACACATTTTATACAGTTGCTTTTAAACATCAGTTAAAAGCAATTCACTTATACTCTCTTACATTATTATTTTTACTAGTGCTTTTTGTCTTTCTTGTGCATTCAAATCATTTTTGCGCTCCCTTGTTTTCAGCCCCAACTTCTTTTAGTATTTCTCATAAGATCTGTCTGCTAGCAATGAATTGCCTCAGGTTTTTTGTTTGTTTTTTAAATCTGAAGTGTTTTTATTTTACCTTTTTAAAAATAAATAACTTTTCTGGGGCAGATATAGGATTCTTCGTAGATATTTTTAATATTCTTTGAGCGTTGGACAGGAAAAAAATTATAAAGGAGCTTAAAATCTTCCAAGAGGAAAGAGAAATCAATACCTAAGAACACTAGCTAGATGGGGAACCGAGATCATGGTGTTGGAAGCTGATGACAGATTGGACTGGGCTGGAGATGGGAGGGGGAATTGTAACTGAAGACACTGTACGTCTGGGGATCAGGTGGTCCTGACTGCAGCCTAATGGAGGATTACTTGTTAGAGCATCAAACACGGCACATGACAGGTGCACCAGGCTGAACTCAGACATGCTTAGACCTGGTGCTCTGGGGGAACATCTGTAGGTTCAGTGGGAGAAAAGTCTCCACTTTAGTATCAGATGGTGCTTGATTAAGAAAGTTTACCACAGCCATGGCAGTCATGATTAAGGGTGTGGTTAAAGTTAGAGTCAGTTATGACAAAAGTATGGTTGGTGGGTGTCACAGAAGCAAGCAAAACTTCTCAGTTGCTAAAGATGCTCTAAACATTTTATTCCACACTCTAGTGCTCAGAGTGTGAAGTAAAGCACCCTTGTGAGTAGAAGGGACAGCGGAGACTGAGGGCCGGGGTGACAGAACACACTGCCATGGGAGCCTGGTGTCCACAATGAAATAAGATACCTTGGTGAAGACAGTGCATGTCTCAAGCCTCTGTGCTGCTCGAATGAAGGTTCCCTCTGCGCCCTCCGAAATGTAGTTTCCAAACTGGTCGAGGTAAGGGGGAAACTGCTGTCTGCACCTGCCTCCTATGCCAGGTTTCCTCGCTCAGGGCCGTGTCCCCTGGAGGAAAGAGCCCTTCCCTAGGTCAGTCTGGTACGGGGGGCATTGTCTTCATCCCCAAAAAAGTGTCATGTGGACTCCCTGAGGCCTTGAAATCCAGGGAGCACTGGAGAGCATGCGTGAAGGCCACCTGGAATCTCTGGAGCCAGAAAGAATACTTTGGGTAATCGGACATCGAAATTAAAAAAATAACAATAATTGAAGTTACCGTTATTGTTTCACTTGTGTCTTCTTGACAAGGACTGAGACTAGACAAGCCACCTGGGAAATGTTGCCTAAGGCAATGAGCTCATACGTGGAAAATATTGGAACCCAGCTGTCCTGCTCTGCTGTTTTTCAGGAAACAGGTAGTTGTGTTTTCTCTTTAATTGCTCCCTTTCCTAATAATCCCAAGACCAGGGCTGTCCTGCTTCTACAGGTGACATGACAATTATAAGCTTGGAGGGAAATGAGCTGATGACGTTCTTTCCTTAAAATCATGTCTTAGGGATCCAATTCATATGCACAGAATAACAGACTCGGCTGGGTGAGTGTCGTTTCTCGGCTTCATTAACAGCGAGAGCTCAAGGCTCAGGTGAGCGGTGAGAGGAGAAAGGGCTCACTCACCATGTTCCTGTGTCTCCTGAAATAGAACCGATCACCAGGTGTTTCAAGATGAAACATGAGTGTTATTAATATTGTGAACACATAAATGTATGAATTTGTGAAAGGAAATTTGTAATTTTGTAATAGATAAATTGGAATTTTATTTGGCTATTTATTATTTTAATAATGTAGTACAACAACAAATTATTTTAAGCAATTTTAGAAAATTGTATCCTTTATGGCACAACAAAGTTCAACTACTTTAGAATAATTAATCCTTTTTTTGTTTGCTTGTTTTTTAAGTTTGGAGATACTTTAGTATATTTCTAATACTTTAGGTCCACATAAGTAATGATGTAATAAAACATAAGATTTTTTTCAACAACTCAAAATAAAGAGATTTTATCAGGCGGCCATTTAAAAAACTAGTTTTATTTTTATTGTAGCAATTTGAAATAGAGGATTTTTTTCTTGCTGCCACAAAAGTTATCTATAAACATCACCTTCTGCTATATATTAAATCTCAACAGGGTCAAAAACTACCTTATATGAACAGATTATGGCAATTCTCTGCCTAATTTTAAATATTTATTTAAATTCAACTGAATATTTTGTTTTATAAATAGTCTAAAACTTATAAAATGTTCTGTATATTAGCTTGTATGAGATTGTTTAGTGATGAGGGAATAATAATTTGGAAAATTTTGAATGAACTATAATTCCTTTATTGTAAAAAATGTTGTGTAAATTTAGTATCCCTACTTTTTTATCTGTAAGTTTTAAATTGTAATTGGTGCAACAAAACTTATATTCACAAAAATGACAAATTTCAATTCCGTTCTTGAAATACACAAGTTAACATTATCTGGATTCAGCAAAGTTAGTTTCTTCAAGTGTCTCTGTATCTTCGAAATAGAAGTCAAAGAGGATGAAATTAGAATAGGCAGAAAACAGAGGAATAAAAAGGTGAGTGAATTGGTCTCTTGTGGCTCATGAGGGCAAGCCAACTTTAAGAACTCGATCAGTAGAAAACTCTTCTTTTTCTAAACATTAGGGAATTTTAATTGCATTTTAAAGTACTTTTTGTCAAAAGCCCCTGCATTGCATGTGCAGGGGTAGGATGTGTGAGAGGATGGGTCCTGCCTCCTCCTGATCAGGGCTCCTGGAGCACAGAGGACATGGCCCCCATTTCCTCCCTACTACAACATTTTACTTAGTTCATATGACTATGACCTTCCCACTACTGTGGCACACAGGGATGTGATGGCAAGAGACTTCGAAAGCTTTTTAAAAATATCATATTTTTTTGCAATTTTTGGTTCTGTTGCTCAGAAAAACAAACTGCCACACAGGCTTATGAGGTTTTCAGAATTTCTGGTACAGAATTTGTGATCAAGTCCCTCCGGCCTTGTTCTGTCTCCTAACTCTGCAGGGACACTTCTCCTGTGCATGTTTTTCCACACATGAGCTGAGAATAAAATGTCCTGAGATTATGAATATTCGCGAGTAGTGAGCATTGTGCTTCCAGCTGCACTCTAACTTAAATTGCTAAGGAATGGTGGATGCATTTCAAGGACACTTGGAACTTGCCATATTCTTTTGTCGTTTGTACATTTCACAAAGGATTTTCATGAAACTGTTCTAGCTGGGAAGGGTAGTTCTATTTCCTGATGTTGCCAACTGCATTTCTCAGGTTGCCAACGACTGCCACCATCCCCTATAAACCAGCCATCCACAATTCCCATAAACACTTTATGCTGCCAATGGCCATCACAGGATCTACAATGCTGTGCGTACAATATGGTAAAACTGATGAGTAATATGACACTTTTGATTATTATAATAATAAAACAAAACACAGGATGTTATTTTGTAATATAGATTTATATTGAAATTAATGTTAGGCTGAGTGCAAAGAACTGTATTAAAATGATATTATTCATAAAATTATACAAATCTAAATATTACACATTATTATAAAGATGAGAAAATAGAGCTTTTCAAACTTTGTTTTGTCCAAAATTATATATTGTGTAATGCATAATCATATTGGCCTTTGTAAATGGCTTCTGTCTGTCATTATACTGCTTCTCTTCTTTGCATTTCTGATACAAGCTCATAGAGTTTTTGATTCGTCTTTGGTTCCTGGACAGTGAATGATGCTGTTGTCTGTAACATTTCCATAATTGTATATACGAGGTGGGGCTTATAATCCTGAGAATAGCCTAAGATTAAAGTGAGCATAGCCTAAGGTTCAAGGGCGAATCCTGAAGATGAACCTGACCTGCATTACTGTCAGAGAGTGCTCAGCGCTTTTACCCTTAGCCCAGGAATGACCTGGTTCCCACGTCTCATCGTGAGCGTTGAGCTGCGCATTCAGATGTAGGTTTCTATGGTATTAGGTAGAACCCAACTCTCCTTTACACTCAGACAAACCTACATGACTTCTACGGGTTTTTTTCTACTCCGTTTCTCTCATATCTGCACCATGTTTTCAGATGTCATAATTATTTTATTTTGGAGTTGCCTGATTCACCAAATAAAAATGTCACACAGTTAAGTTTAACATTTAGATAATTATATATTATTCTTTACATGAAGTTCAAGTTTAACCAACTGCTTGTGCTTTATCTGTTGACCTCAATCTATGGGAAACATAGTCTCCCTCGGTCCAGGCTCAGCACCAGAGTCTGTCCTCCAGAGTCTCACTGGAGAAGGGTGCAGGTGATGATCCACCAGATACACTTTATATTTAGTACATAGTAGTAGATTGTAGAGGGGGGACATGAGTTAGAGGGTGAGAAGATGAAAGGAAAAATACGAAAATTCTTATCTGTGTTACTTTTCCTAACATTTGTGTTCTCTCTTTTTGGTATGTGTCCTACAATATGTGTCAGATAATAATAAAATGAGTCAGATATCTAGTTATTAGATAATCCCACATATGTTAGTGGTCATGGCCAAATGTTGTTGTACTTGGTTGTAAACCTTTAAAATGTAGAGACCACTGAGGCTTTCAGTCAATATTATCCTTATACTTCTGAGTGAAACATGGTAACAGAATCCAGCTGAGCTGAGGGTGCTGATGTATGTCGTTGACAGCTGTCAGTTATTTGGCTCTGGCCCTTGATGTAAATACACCCCTTCACTAGATTAAGCATTTGGAGTATGCACCAAAAATATTTAATTAACTATGCAATTTCTTTTTTTATAAACTCATGCATGTCGGGTGGTTTTAGACCAATGTTCTACCTCAGCCATGATTTTCTGAGTATGAGCCAGGAAATCTGTCCCGTTATCTGCATTGCCTTACATATTTATACTTATTGGTCAGTGCAGTTTTAAGTGACCTTGAAAAAAAGTGAGCACTCTTTCATCTCAGAAGAGAAATAGAGTGAATTGTTGGAGAGATTGTTTTTTCAGCATCACTTAGCTGAAATGTAATAATGGTACCTGTATCCAGATGAAACCGCATGAGGATATAATTTCTAAATTATTCTGTACAATTTTATAAAAGATTCTGATACAGAAATTTCTTAGTTAAGACATGAGGGGGACTGTCTTTGGTATTGGGCAACTATATATTTTCAAGGGCCTGGAAAGGTATCCATGTATTAAGTTGAAGTCTCTAAAAAATGATTACCTAGGAGCATTTTGATGCCACCTTATAAAACTGAGAAACATGTTTGTCCTTGTACAAATTGGGGCCAGGTGTTTAGTAATTTCTCCTGAGATGAAGAAAGCTTACATAGGAGTCTCTGGAATAAAAACCAAGCTGGGAGAGAAGCAGGACCATGGAGGTTCAGTTAGCGTAAAGATATCCACATTCAACTTTCAGACATTTTGAATATAGTAGGTAACATGATGAAGGAAAATTAAGGTGCCGATGGTAACAAAGGTTAATAATCACCTGACCTTATAGTAGAGTGATTGTCCTGCCTCATCGGGGTGGGCTGTGTGCAACTACAAAAGTACTTAAAGGAGGAGGAAAAAGGAAAGAGTAATATGATGTCACAAGTCAGTGATATGACATGAGATCAACTCAGTGAAACCTCATGGGGTTTTTTTTTTCAAATTTTTTTGGTAAATTTTTACCCATTAGCATAAAATTTACTATAGTTCAGTTTACCAAACATCCATGATTTACTTTTATATGCCCATCACTATTCTGGGTGGTGAAAATTAAATGAAAGTAAAAAAGTGCTTCTAAAGATTGAATGTCAGGTATTACAGGAGTGTAGATCATGTACACATCCATACAGGTGTGGTGGTGTATGCTTCAGTTTAACATAATTAATTTGTGCATAAAAATAATGCTCAGGCTGTATTTTCAAAAATTTATAAGAGATAGAGTTAATCAAGATAAATGGGTGAAATTAAAATAATATTGTTGGTGATAATTTTGACTATGGAATAAATAACATTGATAATGAGTGGTCCACTGCTTTCTTTTCATATATATAGAATGTTTCTCTTTCCCTTTAAGGTGATTACTTTCAAAATATGTTACTATTAAAAAATGCCATACATTCCCAAGCTGGCATTGGACTTGCTGCCAACACCTTCCTCTTCCTCGTCTGCATATTCACATCTTTTCTGGATCACAGGCCAAAGCCCACTGACCTGATCACCTGTCACCTGGCCCTTGTCCACATGGTGATGCTCCTCACCATGGTGTTCTTGGTGTCTCCAGGCCTCTTTGAGTCACAGAATTTTTGGAATGACTTTAAGTGCAGGATGTTTTTCTACGTGAACAATGTGATGAGAGGCCTCTCCATCTGCACCACCTGTCTCCTGAGCATGCTCCAGGCCATCACCATCAGCCCCAGTTCCTCCAGGGTGGCAAAGTGTAAACATAAATTTACAAGTTACTTTACCCATGTTTTTGTCTTCTTGTGGTCTCTCAGTTTGTCTTCCAGAAGTTACCTAATCTTCTATATTGTGGCTTCTTCCAACATGACCCAGACCAATCTGCTGGTTCTCAGTAAATACTGCTCACTTTCCCCCATGAACTTCATCATCAGATACCTAGTTTTCACTCTGACAACATCTAGTGATATTTTCTTTGTAGGAATCATGCTTCTGTCAAGTGCACATATGGTGATTCTCTTGTTCAGGCATCAGAGGAGATCCCAGCACCTTCACAGCACCAGGCTCTCCCCAAGAGCCTCCCCAGAGAAAAGAGCCGCCCAGACCATCCTGCTGCTGGTGGGTTTCTTTGTGCTCATGTACTGGATGCACTTTATTATCTCATCCTTCTCAGTCCTGTTATCAGCACATGGCCCAGTTGTCCAGGATGTCCAGACACTTGTGTTCAATATCTATGCCTCCGCCAGTCCTTTGGTGCTGCTCAGTTCTGATAAGAGGATAATCAACACTGTGAAAAACATGCAACAGAAGTTGCACCGGTTTTTGAAAACTTAGTGAGGGAAAATATTTTTTTCTGAAAAATATATTCTCTTGCCATCATTTACATTAATTTAACTGTAAAAAAAAAAACTGCCATTTTATTTAAGTAAAATGTGGGGAATTATATTTTTATTATATCCCCTTACTGTCTAAACTAATACTGCCAAGAGTGTGTGGTTCCTTTAGTTCAAAGTCCACTGTGAGTTCCCATAGGAATCTCCCTCTTTCATTTTGGTTCTCAGACCTTAGTGCAAGAAAACTTTTCTATTTTCTTAAAGAGCAATCTGAAGAAGCTTCTACTGATATCAAATCTCTCAGTGCTTTTCCTTTTGAAAATGTTTAAATTTATGTTTACTCACTAATTATATATTTGGACAAGTATCCAATTTGAAACATAGTTTCTCACAGTTCTCATAATTTATTAGTCTGATTGTTGGCTCTCTACGGGCAGTGAAGACTTTAATTAATTATAAGCATATTATTACAAATCATGATATTTCTTTATGTCCTTTACCCAACCTATCCCTTCGCCAACCCCTCACCCCATCTCTAGTATCCTTAGGTTTGTTTTCCCTTCTGAAAGTTCAACACTTCATTTTGGTTTCTCTCTCCCTCTCTCTCTCTCTCTCAGCACCCAGTTATAAGTAAGAACATGTATTTCTCTTTCCTTCTCTGGCTTAATTCACATAAAATAATTTTCTCCGGACTCACCCATGTTGCTGCACATGGCAGCATTTCATTCTTGTTATGGCTGAGTGGTATTCCATTGTGTGTATATATCACATTTTCCTTATCCAGTCATCTGACAATAGACACGTAGGTTGGTTCCATATTTTGGCTATTGTAGATAGAGCTGCAGTGAACACGGGCATGTAGGTGTCTCTTCTACATGATGATTGCCATTCCTTTGGACATATGCCCAGTAGTGCGATTGCTGGATCATGTACTCACGTCCTCACAGCCGACTGATCTTTGACAAAGGCAACAAGAAAGCACATTGTGGAAAAGACTGCCTCTTCAATAAATGATGCTGCGCAAATTGGACTCATGTACAGAAGAATAAAACTGGACCTGCACCTCTGACCATATACCCAAATCAACTCAAAATGTGTTAAAGTCTTAAATATACGAGCCCAAACCATAAAATTACTGAAGCAAAACAGAGAGGAAACACTCCAGGAAGTAAGGCTGTGGCGATTTTGATCTTCTCTTTCTAGGTTATTTCTCTTTTCCTCTCACTTCTTTTATAGTTTTTCCCTTCTCTTGCTGTTATGAGACTTTACTGTTATTTATAATTTTTTTTCTTAAGCACTTCACCTTTTAATTTAAGGATTTATGTCTGGTTTTAACTTTTAGGCATTTGAATATTGCCATATATTTGATTCCTGTCTTTTATTCTTTTTATTTTAGTGAGACAGTTACGTTTTACTCCCCATTCTAGTCTTTGTCTATGTATAACTATATTTGTGGTATATAACATTTTGCATCTCTTTACTGTACTTGGCTATATTCATTCTTCTCAATATATTAGTTCACTAGTCCTCTCAGCGTCTTAATTTACTTAATGCTTAACCCATACATCATTTATTAAACTGATTTTTTTATTGTTTACATTCTATTTGACTCTTACATAAATGTTTTTAAATTTTATAGTTTCTTGCTTCTTTCACACAAAGAAATATTTTTACCGTACTTATTTAAACACTGTAAACATAATTTTCAAACGCAGATATTTTGCATTTACTTGCTTTTAGACACTTCATCCTTATTTCCTTATGTTCTTCATAGTTTTTGTTTGGTTCTCACTTTTGGAAACTATCACATTTGGGATTCCTGCAGTTGCATAATTTTTGTTTATTTCATTTTCCTTGGGGCCAGGTGGGACCACCCACATAGATTTCACATGTGGGTCGTCAGTAATCACCCGTGAGATGGGCAGTATCTGAAGGGAGCACTTGCTTCTTAGTGTGAATTCTACTCTAGATTTTTCTTTATTTATTTCTTCTTCTGTGTAGTTTTTATTTTCCTTTAGCTCTATTTATTATTTTAAAGATTTTAGTAACTTATTCAAGATTCTTAGTTGTCTACATTAAAAGTTGTAGGAATACAGAATATATTTTACCTAAATGCACAAATATTCATAGTATATACATGAGTAACATATTTTACTTAAATGTTGTGTGGCATACACTGGCGCATCGTGAGATATCCCAAGATTCTTCACTTAGAACACTCCTCTCCCTACTATACCATGTGGCAATAATAATTTGTAGAGGGTTTTTAAAAATACTTAAACATGTTATTTTATACTTTTCACAAATTTCTGAAAAGATATACTCTACTGTAGTGAAGAGTACTGCCCTAAATACAGACAGAATTACTATGTTTCTGTAACATTAAGCTAATATTCATAGAATTATTTGCCTGAATTTAGGCCTTTTGACTTCAAGCACCATGCTTCCTTAGCATGGCCCTTAATCTACAAAAATAATCTGAATTCGCATTTTCCATTTATTTCATAAATTAATTAAAATAGATTCAAATAAAATTTGTGTGTAGCTAGATGTTATTTGTTAATTACAATTTAGCTTATATTTCTATCATCATTTCAGAGTGCCTAAAAAATTAGGACCTACTAGATTTCTGCTTTGATGAAGTTTACAATATTGTCACTCCTAAAATCTTGCCATTTAACCTTGTTTACCTCTGGTCTTGGAATATAAGGTGTCTTCTTTGTTTATTGATTAAAAATGATGTCCATTTCTCTCCATGCCTAATTAGTCACACTTTCTAGTATAATTATTTAGTATTCTTAAATAATGAATTAATGTTAATTTAGTTGTTGTATACCAAAATACTTTATTTCTGTGATGATATTAACGTCACCTAATAGGATTGTAAATGTGTCAATGTGTCATTGTCCATGAATCATTGTGTAACACATTTTAAACCCTTAGGTATTAGATCTATATGTGCAAATGTCACAGAATAGTGATGAGCACATTACATAGGTACTTACCACTCTGATTCATCTAATTTGTATTTGCTCATACAGTTCTTTATTTACCAAATTATTTTGTATTTCTTGTTACCAAAATTTGCTGTCCTATACTATCAGAAAATGGCTGAAAAAGAGAAGGTAGGTTAATGTGCTGTCTTGATAATATTCACAGTCAAAGGGCATGCTTTACTCTTTTTCTTTAGATTTAATAATTCATTTGACTCACATGATAAATGTGAGTATTAATGGCAGCAGTTAGTCTTATTCTCAACCCTACAACGGAGGAAGCTTTTGGTCATTTACTGATTACACCAAAGCCTCACTCACTAACATTGCACTTTCTGAATCTTCCATGACAACTGCACAAAAAGTCTAGAAACATGGGCCTCTACCAACTGGAAATAAATACCTCGATAGGCACAAACTATCCAAACACACTCAAGAAGAAATAGAAATATGAATATACCTATAACAAGTAAAGAGATTAAATTAATTTTAACAAAGTTCCTATAAGGAAAAGCCTAGAGCCAAATAACTTAACTGGTAAATTGTATCAAATATAATAAATTAATACCATTTTTTTACAACTCCTTTTCTTTACAAAATATGGATCATAAAGGAACCCTCCTCAATTTATTTTATGAGACTTATATTACCTTGAAATCAGAGCCAGACTGTAAAGCATCACGTCTAATGAATAATATGAATAAACATCCCGGATGAACTTAGACATGGAAATTCTCAAACACCTAAAAGGAAGAGCTAGAGCTATAAAAGTCCTAAAAAATGGAGTAAATTTTTGTGATCTTAGATTAGATAATGATGTATTACATATGATACCAAACAATTGAACTTACAGAAACAGAGAGAAGGATGGTGGTTGCCAGAGGCTAGGGGTGGGGGAAATAAGGAGATGACAGTCAAAGGATACGAAGCTTCAGACAAAAGAAAAAAAATTTAGATCAATTTCCCAGCATGTTGAATATAGCTAATAATTGAGTTGTGTACATTTGAATGTCACTGAAAGTAAATCTTAAATGACATCACATCAAATTCTTAATATTTGAAGTGATGGATAAGTTAATTATCTTAATTGAATCTTTCCACATTGTATTAAGAAAATCATAACATCACTTTGTACACCATCATCAGACACAACTGCAATTTGTCAATATATAATAAAAATGGAAAAAATGTTTTTTTAAATGATGAATTGTTGTTTCTCAAATTTAAAAACTTTTATTCTTTAAATAACACCATGAAGAAAGGCAAGTCACTGGGAGAAAATATTTCAAATTACATATCTAAATAGGACTAGTATCCAGAATATATAAAGAACTCCTGCAAATCAATAATAAAAATACAATTGACTTGTTCCTATTTTAGACACTCTCTACTTTTCAACCACTCTGGAAACCCGGAAATCTATCCTTTGTGTGAGGTGCTGAAGCAGGTGCACCTG